TGAGACACGTGCTGTCAGTACAGTGTGAGGAGCAAGGCACATGCTAGTTCATTTAGCCCTTATGAACAGGAGGCAGCACAGGAGACGTACACCCTGACTCAAACGTACAATACTGACTGTTCTCAACAACAACATGTTCAGATATATCCTCCGAGATCAATACGGAACAGACATTCATTCAGAAAGAACAGGAACAAAATACAATAATTAATAGGAACACTGCAACACGACATCACTGCTATTTGAAATGCTTAGGAACAACATATTGAAATCAAAATGAAAATCGTCAGACATAAATTAGCATTAAAATAAGCAAATATATTTTCGGCTGCTAATAGTGGAGGAAGGTGTTTGGGGAGAGGAGAGAGAAGGAAAGGAAGACAGAGGAGTCAACCTGTTGTCTGTGGCCTACCAGTGACCTACTTGTGGTGAACCATTGATGTCTACCAGCAGGATGCCACTTAACAGATGGCTTTTCTATGAAACTGTGCTATAACCAACCCCGTTGTGTTTCATGGAACTGGGCTCTGGGCTATTTGGGAGGGAAACAAACATCCTTGTGTCTGTCAATTTGAACCATTAACCAGCTAAGTTGAAAAACCCCAGACAGAAAATATACATTTTCCAGAATCCTAAATTGGCACATCTCTTAGTCTTTCAGGAGTTTTGAATTGCACAGAAACAACAATAGTCAGTCAGTCTTTCTCTAACCGTCCTACCTTCAGGATAAATTATTATTTCATTATTAGATAGGTCAAAGCACCAAAATATTACTCAAATAATGAAATGACTACAGAGATTTTACAGCAAATAGTACAACAGAACGGCCAGCCCAGAACAACCTTTTGGTCTGTAACAAACACTTGATCTGGATTCATAAGAGGACGCTCAACAAGAAAGGGACACAGCGTAAACCATTACTGGGAATTACCTTCCTTACCAACCCATGTTTCATAATGAATTCTGAGAAAGGCTAGAGGGGCATTCTTCTACAGCATAAATTGACTAATTTAATATTTGTGTTCTTGTTCTGTTCTTGTTGTTTTGTGCCCGTGCTGATATGATCAGGATGAGAGAGGTTAGAGGAACCACTGCTGGGGCTTTGGAGACACTTAATTCACTTACATGAAGTCAACTCTATTTGCGGTGTGTGTGTGTGTGTGTGGGGGGTGGGGGGTGGCTGGGAGTGTGTGGAGGGGTACATCATTGAATTTGTTAACAATACCAAAATGTGTCATCCACCCACATCACTTTAGCTGTCCTCAATTTTCTGAGTCGCCCACTTGGGTCTAAAATTCAAGGTTACAAAGTTACATTCTGAATGGGAATGCATGGAAAATATCACAAATTCTTGATCATAAATAGCCATGTTTCACAGCCCTAGTTAGCAAGGCTCTCCCCTTTGATCTCCAAAACCCTTCATAGTTGTTGTGCTTCCTGTGTGCAGTTTCATAGTGATGAGAAAGACAGCAGTTCATGTGACGCCTGTCATACTCCATCCTGATACATCCATGACCTACAGTATATACAGGGATACACCGCACACCCACCCACCCACCCACTGACCCACCCACCCACCCACCCACTGACCCACCCAGCCACCCACCCACCCACTGACACACCCACCCACTGACCCACCCACTGACCCACCCAGCCAACCAACCACCCACTGACCCACCCAGCCACCCAGCCACCCACCCACCCAACAAATGTGATTAGTTAGAGAGAGGAACTCGTAAACAGAGAGGAGGTTGCTATGAGACAAAGCGCAGAGGCTGTGACAGAGAGAGAGATCGGGAGCTAGATTTAGGTGTTCTCTGTGTCGCCAGCGTTACGGTGAGGGAAAGCGTGTGTTTATGTATGTGTGTTTACTGTACATGTATGTGTGTGTGTGTGCGTGCGCATGTGTGCGGGTGCCTGGGTGTGCGTGTATGTCCTTCTATATCCTTCTACCCCCCCCCCCCCCCCCCCCCCCCCCCCCCCCACCCCCAAAAATTGTAAAGTGGTTATCCCACTGGCTATAGGGTGAATGCACCAATTTGTGAGTCGCTCTGGATAAGAGCGTCTGCTAAATGACGTAAATGTGCCCTTGAGCAAGGCACTTAACCCTAATTGCTCCTGTAAGTCGCTCTGGATAAGAGCGTCTGCTAAATGACTAAAATGTAAATGTATGTGGTCCGAGGACTGACGTGTGCCATCTGGAGTACTCTACAAAGCAATTCAGTGTCTATAAGCCATGTCTGAAGGGTTCGTGGTATTAAAAGCAATGCCAGTGTAAGAGCTGATCTCCTATGAATACATATTCTATAGAACAATGTGTTAACTTAATTAACTGCATAACATAGCACAGGTACTGTAGATAGAGAGAGACAGAGAAGTAGACAGAGAGGTGAAGAGGTACTTTGACTCAAAGCAGAAGCCAGTACACGGTATGTAGACACTTACTACATGTGATATTCTGCTTCCCTCTAGTGGTCGGCGAGGAGAGAATGAGAGCGAAAAGAAACGAGAGACTCAATGTAGACAGAACAGGAACATCACGCAACACCCGATGTGCAAAATACCACAGGCACTGGAACTTTTATAAATATTCAACATTAAGTACTGATTCATATGTACAGATATTGTACAGCGAGATTCCTAGCTTTTACAGCAGCTGCAAGGCAAAATGCGCCGATAAGACTGTTAGAAATAAAATAAAATAAAAACAAGAACTGGCCCTGAAAGCTTCTATTGTTATGCAGTAGATACAAATAGTTATTAATATTTTTTATTTATTTTTTATTTTTGGGGGGGCTCTTTGAAAATATAATACACACAAGTGAATGGATAAGGTCCCTGTGACTCTTTGGGGGGCATTGCTTTCAGCACCAACAAAGATAAAAGCATTGCACCACTACTGACCATTTCAACTCACAAACCTGATTGTGATGACGGATTTCCCTCAATGAACCATCCAATTCACATTAACCCCAACTGCATATGATACTATATATTAACAGAGAGATGTGTAATCGTTTTGTAAAAATCACATAGAATCCAATAGAGCACCAATAGAATCCAATAGAGTTGTCAGCAATGGCCCTCCATAGTCCCCCAGAGCTCTTACTCATTGACTCTCTCTGAGAAGCAGCAGAAAGAAGCATGTGAAATAGACCCCACTGAGTCTGACATTGATGAGTCATGGACATTGGCAGCACTATGCTAACCCACTATTCCAGAGTTTTAACACAGCCAGGAGAAGGAATATTCTGGGGGATGTGAGATCCTTGGGGTTTTATCTTTCTAGTCTAAAAGTGTCTTCTTCTTCTTGTCTCCTTTCTTTCATCTGCACTGATCTGAAAGGGGGGGGGGGGGGGGGGGGGGGGGGGGACAGGATATGTGAATGCACTACGGTAGATATCCACCAGGTACTTGCTTTCACCATTCCAGCTCTTTATCATCTGTGCAGACGACGTTAAGGAGCCGAAAGGAGAGGAAGACACTTTAAACTATTGACATGCACCCCTGGTGTTTAGATGTGGCATAGTCTGTTTTTATATCTCCAAACCTCCAGTGTGCAGAGTGTCTGTCTGCCCTGATTCAGAAAGGTTGCATCCCAAATGGTAGTCTATTCCCTTTATAATGCACTACTTTGGACCAGGGCCTATAGGGTGCCATTTGGGACATACCCCTAGACACAGACACATAGGGACACTTCCTATCTAGTATGTCTCATTATATGTATTCCTGAGTGGCGCAGTGGTCTAAGGCACTGCATCGCAGTGCTAACTGTGCCACTAGAGATCCTGGTTTGAATCCAGGCTCTGTCGCAGCCGGCCGCGACCGGGAGACTCATGGGCGGCGCACAATTGGCCCAGCGTCGTCCAGGGTAGGGGAGGGAATGGCCGGCAGGGATGTAGCTCAGTTGATAGAGCATGGCGTTTGCAACGCCAGGGTTGTGGGTTCGTTTCCCACGGGGGGCCAGTATAAAAAAAATAAAAAAATATACTGTAAGTTGCTCTGGATAAGAGCGTCTGCTAAAATGACTAAAATGTAAATGTAAATATGGGATCAGAGTGGTATTAATGTATTAATGTCTATGTGACTCCAAGAGCGGATATATCAACTGCAGTAACAGGCTGTAATTTAACATGGTGTGTCAGATCTGTTTGGGATGAGCTTAATAAAATCAAATGTATTGGTCACATAAACATGGTTAGCAGATGTTATTGTGAGTGTAGCGAAATGCTTGTGCTTCTAGTTCCGACAGTGCAGCAATATCTAGCAAGTAATATCTAACAGTTCTACAACAAAAACCTAATACACACAAATCTAAGTGAAGAATAGAGTAAGAATATATTAATATATGGATGAGCTTACATGGGTCCTTAAGTGCTGCTGGGGAATAAGACTTAATTTAAATTAAACTTAATTTAAATATAAGGACTTTATTGAATATCCAACTATTCACACCCTGATTTTATCCAGGTGTGTGCTGCTTATGAAAGAGAAATCCATCTTTACTGTATGTGCCTTGCTCTTAAACACACTGGGGGAGGTTTGGAGAGATAAAAGTTTTCCTTGTTAAGGTGCGAGTCCAAGAGGATGTACGGTCCACATCACATCTGGCTCTCCTCTCAGCCTTACAACAAGACCTCCGCTTTGGATCGGAAAGTGTTTCAGATTCGTATCCTAAAGGGACTTTGTTTTATTTAAAACAACTGTGCAAACATCTGGCTTTGGTTTTTTCTATCCACAGAGTTCAGTCTGCCGTGTGGCTGTATGCCTGTCTGTCTTTCTGGTGTGTGTGTTTGTGTGTGTGTGTAAACAAATAGGTCAGTGTGTATGTCTGTATGTCTGTACCATGGCTCTGGGTATGTGATAGGTCAGTACCTGATAGAGAGCACCAAGGCAGGTTAAGGGTTAAATAATAACTCCAGTCTGTTAGCAGACGTAGGTAAATCTCTATAAGAGAAATCAAGGGAGGGTTAGGGAGGAGGGAAGGTCTGTCATCATCAAGCAGCACCACTCTGGGCCCGCTTCATCCTCAACAGAAAGTTCCTCTTCTCCTCCAGGAGTTCCTGGATGCGTTTGTTCCGTGTTCTCTCCTGGAGGAACACGCGGCTCCGTCTGGGGATCAGGTTGTTTTGGGAGATGACGTTGTCTACTCCGATGATCCGGTTGTAGGGAACGTCAATGGAGTTGTTTTCGCTGGTCTCCTCCTGGAGGCTTGGCGACCACATGGTCTTTTTGGTGGTTGTTGTTGTTGTCGTCATGGCGATGGTAGTTGTGGGAGGCGGGGCTGTCATTTGCTCTGTCATTAACTCTGTTGTTGGCTCTTCCGTGGTTGTAGTGGGAACAGTGGAACTTACAGATATGTACTCTGTGGTCTCCGGCCAATCAAGGGTGGTCATATCTATGATGTCATCCCTGGGGACTGTAGGAATCATCACTGTCATCACTGTGATGTCATCATCATAAGGCATTGTTCCACTTGGCATTGTGACATCACCATATGGTGTGGTTCCGCTGTGCATTGTGACATCAGTGCCATAGGACACGGTTCCACTAGGTATTATGACATCACCACCGCTGGACATTGTGACATCAGTGTATGGGATGGTTCCACTGGGTGATGTCACATCTTCAAAGTAGTTGGTTTCAGTTGGCTTTATGACATCATCCATGTAGTATGGGCTGCTGGGAGTTGTGGTTTCTGCCCCTGTTATGTCATAGGTGTGAATGGGGGTCACTGTGGTGTCGTTGCTGATAAAGGTGATGTTAACGGTTGAGTCAGTGAAAAGGTTGCTGGGAGTTGTAGTGTATATGCTGGTGCTAGTGGAGAGGGTGAAGGAGGGGTAACTTCTGGTTGTGTCTCTGGGGGTCACACTGTGCTCTGGGGTCATGTGTATGGGGATGGGGTATGTGGTGAAGTATGGGTGGGGTGTTGTATAGGTGTGTGTTGTGCTCATCGGGCGTGGCGTGGTATAAGGTATATGCATAGTTCTTCTTGGATGAACTGTGGGCTGAAGGGGGGTGTTGTTGTCCTTGGGCCAAGGCAGAGGCCGAGGCCGAGGCAGGGGGCGAGGCAGCGGGCGAGCTGTGACCTGGGGCGGGGCGCTGGTGGTCAGGCTTCTGTCAGTCACGTTGCTGCAGGACTTGCAGCACATGCGCTTGTAGCCCGGCAGAGCGCAGTAGCGGATCAGCATCTCCATGCGACAGAACACTGACCTGTCTCCATGACAACGCTGCTTGCCTGTGGGCGAGAGAACACAGAGCTGAGACTGGGCCAGACTGGAGATGGAGCTGTGTGTGTGTGCATGAGTATATGCATGTATGTATGTATGTATGTGTGTGTGTGTGTGTGTATGTTTACACACGGTGCAGAGTAAAGCAGTATAGGTAGTAAAGCCAGACCATTAGCAGGTAGCGCAGGATGGAAAAAGACGAAGAAGGAAACCCAAGCAGCATCGACAGCAGAGAGTCAATAGATTAGTCTATAGCAACTGAAGAAGAGTGGAGTGGGCTCTTGTGTTGTGGTGCTGGAACAGTAACCTGGCTCTTCAGACCAAACAGACATTTTCTGACATCTCATCTGTCTTCTTTATTAGTTTCAGATTATTACATCAATATCACTTTATTAATATTTCTAATGCAAGAGGGCGGATCTTATTTAATCTGTCTTTCATTATTACTTTCATGGCATTATCACTTTATTAGACAATGTTTAAGCCTTTGTAAGGTTGGATCAATCTTTGAGTTGAGTTCCACTTGAAGCTTGTGATGTGCTCCTCCTCACACAAAGTCAAACCATCACAAACTCAGGAGGAGAGAGAGTGAGAGCGCTTTTTAAAATATTTTTTTATTTATACAACTTTGCAGTTGATAATGACAGGAACTGAAACAATGAGATGTACTCTCTCCTCAATATATAGATATATTATTTTCTTAAGAAAAATAAATAAACTGTATCGAAAGGTACAAGTTCACAGTCACTTTGGTAAAACACTTCATTACTTGGAAATCAACCAATCAATCAGTTTAGTTAATCAATTGATAATAAGTAAAATTAATAAATTACATAAATGAATACATAGATTTTGAAGTTGAATAAATAAAATACAGAATTATCCATGATGAATGACGTAAAAACTGGAATGGCACGTTTAAGTGTCATATGAAACATTTACAAAACATTAATACATTTTTCCCTGATAAATCAAAGTGCATATAGACGCAGTGCACATAGTCCTTCTGAATGTTTCCCCGACGTCAATCCAACGTCAATCCAACGTCAGCCCAACGTCAGCCAGCCCCACCCATCAGGCTAGTGAAGCCACGAAACAGTTACCCATAGTATAGAATATTATATATATTTTTTCCATAAGTAATAAGATAACAGTCATGAACATTATTAAACACAGTCAACACCAATGTTATATACAGTATCGCACTGCAAGGTCTGGCATCATTGGCCTCCTACCGTCCGACTCCAGCACGAAACCTCAGATAGCTTGCTACATTATCACAACAGAAACATGTGATCACAATACAATGACAAGCCTGATGTGTTTTTCTAGATGCCGTCGTCAGTGTGTCGATCGATACCCTAGGCCCTTTGTAAACCGTACGCCAGTGGTCAGACCAAGTTCCAAACCCTATGTTTGTTGTAGGTTCTGATGGTTTTCGTGTGAGTTTGCTTGTTGGTTTGAAGCTGCCTCTAAGTGATTAATACATGTTTTGATGAGTAAAGCCATCTCTTTCACAGATAAATGCCATTACATTCAATCCAAGATAAGGCATTGTTCATGTGTTTATTGTTCATCACAAAAGGAAAAACAAAATTTGATGATTTTCAAATGAAGGTTTATGAGGTATTTCTGTATCAGAGTTGTATGTCTATGAGAAGCCTGCATGAACACACACACTCACATATGCACACACACACAAGCATGCACAGACACGCATCAACACACACACAGTCACGCAAACACACACACTCTCTCTCTCACACACACACTCACACACACACACTCATATGAGCTCAAACGGCTAAGGGATGCAAATGTGAATGACAAAAACGTGATCCTTTCCCTAAAGAAAATAACAAGCAACAGTAAACCACTTATCCATCTGAGAAAATGGAGAGGCAACTAACTGACCAAGTCCTGCATAATATAGGTCTATACCCCCTTCCCCCCTAACACTTTACTATTTTTTAATATTTACTTCTGTGTTCATGTAAAATCAATAAAAAAATACACATAACAGTCAAGGATCGAAGTGATCAATAGCAGTCCGTAGGTTTAGGCAAATAAGCTACAGCTTATTCATGGTAAAACATTATTATTATTCATATTATTGTTACTCATATAGATTTGAGATGTATATATATATATATATATATATATATATATATATATATATATATATATATATATATATATAAATATAAATACAAATATATTTATAGATATAAATACAAATATATTTATAGATGTATTTGTTTTAAAGTTTGCAAGCACAAATAAGCTGCATTTATTGAACTTTAATATAACAGTCAAAGAGAGGATGGTTGATGAGGTGGTGAAATGGGAAGCAACCTCACATGGTAAAACTACCCTGTTTTATTAGCATTTTACTCTTCTGCACTCTTGGCCTCTTCACCCAACAGCTCTGTATATAATAATCCTAAAAAGTGTTTGTTTGTGTCAACTCCCGTCCCTGTGCTGAATTCCTGTCAGTCTGAGAATGGAACCTAGAACGAGATAAATCTTTGTTCTCATTCTACGATGGAACCAGGATGTGAGATGAGCACTTTAGCAAAGATGTCCTCATTGTGACAAGATCACATTCACAATAAAGCTTTTTTAAAGTTTTTTTTTTTTAATCTTTTTTTTTTCTTCTCTTCGTTATTTTCACACTTGTCGCCCCCCAAACGATGACGGACCGGTGACAAAAAAATTGCACCCTCATCTCAGGAGCGTGAACCATGATGACTCGCAGCTAGCTCGCGCAAAACATGGCCGCCAAACAGAGGGGCCTCTCACGACTCACTGGCTCATCCACGCCACTAAGAGCCGCTAATCAAACCTGCTCGCCTTGTTCCATTTCCACCTTCTCTTCAATGTTTAAATGTTTTTCTTTTTAGTTTCGACTGGCCAGCGGTTACAACACAATGCTCCACAAAGGAGAGAGAGAGATAAGAGAATAGAGAGACAGAGCAAGAGAGAACCAACCAACCAATCAGCACACAGGAGCCAGAGACCTCCCCCAATCAGAGCTGTCTCAGACACAGAGCGAGAGAGACACATACGCCCCAAAAGAGAAGCGAAAAGCTGGCGCTCCCTCGCGGGCGCGGCCACAGGCACGGACACGGGGGGAGGGGTTGGGGGTGGTCAGGGGGTGAGCCTGCCCCCGGGGCCCCTAGCCCAGGCCTGTTGCAGGGTGAAGAGGACAGAGAGAGAGGGCAAGGTCCAGGTCAGGACCACCATGCACCGGAGGCCGGGCCCAGAGCTATAAAGGGATGGTTTTTTACGTGAGCTGTTCCTCTGGTAGGGCAAGTCTGGGTCGGGACGGGACAGCCACTGGATCAGGATGTTGCCGTTGTTATTCAGGTCCGACGAGCCTCCTGGAGATAGAGAAAGGAGGGAATAACATCAGAGAGGAAAATTAGTATGAGTTCATCAGGAGAGACTTATACTCTCCACTGATTTCTTAAAAATAAATCGTTGTGTATAGCATAATGGGGCCAGGCCATAATACTCACTGGGACAGGGCGCCAGGCGACAAATGCGTATGGTGTCTGGCTTGCTGTCCAGACAGAGACCGATGGTGTTGTCACGCGTGTGACACAACGCCAGCCTCTGCTGTGTCCCATTGGCACATGTCACCGAGCACTGTGGTCACACGAGCACAGAGGAAAAGTGTGAGAATAGGCTATACACAACAACCTCCAACATCATAAACACACACACACACCTACACACACACAGACTCCATACCACACATCTACATGCATACAAACTAAATAATACACCCATATAGCCCTATGTATTCATCGACCAAAACCCCCCTCTACCCCCAGCACTCCATCCTTACCTGTGACCAGGGCCCTACTCTCCACTGTGCAGGGCAGAGCTCTCTGTTGCAGGGCCTGCGTGCCTCAGGCCGGTCGTCATTGCAGTACTTGCTGTGAATGGAGCGCTTGTTGCCATTGTCTAAGGGCTGAACACAGCGAACGGACCTCATCTGGTACCCTGTTTTACCACACGTCTTACTGCACGGCTCCCACGGACCATCCTCCCAGCTACAAAGACACAAAGAACAAGAGGGAGTTAGAGGGAGGTACAGACAAAAACATACCTCTAGGCCTGGTTCCATTTCGGTCACTAGCCCTTTACACTCCAACCTCTTTGGTGTTCACAGGTTCAGTGTAGGGACCAAGGAGTGAAATGGAACAGGGCCATCCTCTATGTAAACATGTGGTGATCGTGGTAAACATGAAAATTAACCACACAAACATATCCATACGTACATGGGCTGGGAGCACTCCTTCTGGTTGCAGTCTCTGCTGATGGCGCGAGGCTTTTTGATGTTCTCACAGTAGCGTCGGTGGACCATTTTACTGTCCGCTCTCCTTCTACAGCCGTACCGGGTATACTGCTTACCTTTTCAGGCAGGACACACACAAACATCTGTTAGACAAAGATCTCCACATCCAAATCTCCTACCATGTTCCCCAGTCCCCCGGTGTCTTCCTGTGCTAGCGGTGTCACGGTAAAATACCTCCCCCACAGGGCTTGGAGCAGTAGGACCATTTCTTCAGGGCCCACTCGTAGAAGGAGGTGTCATCCAGCAGCATGTTGTTCTCTATGGCAGACAGCAGGTCCATGTGGATTATGTACTTATAGGACAGGGTCACCTTGGCATCTCCATGGGACTGCACCTGGACACAGGGAAACAACAGCACAATCATATTAGTACAGGTGTTATGTATGAAGCAAAAGTCAGGACTGGAAATGTCATAAACTCAAAGGTAGCGGTTTCGTAATTCTGGACCATCAATATTAAGCTATAACAATAATATATGGTAAGAATTTAGTGTGTGTTTTGTGACTTGTATGTGCGTGTGTGTGTGTGTACCATGATGAGGACCCCGTGTCTGAGTGGTCCATTGGTCTGTAGTGTCTCCTTGTCATGGTCATTATTCATGTATTCCCACTCCACACCCTTCTCTATGACCGCACGGGATTCTGGGAGGTCTCCCTCCGCATTCAGGAAGAACTGTCCTGATGCCTGGTTCTTCACCGCTGGGGAGGGAGGTGGAGTTATAAACTGGAATACTCACGCTTACACACACACTCACACACGCAGGCACGCACACACAAACATACACACACACCCACCCACACACACACATTCACAAACACGCACATATTTCATACCTAGGATGTGTGCGGTTGGCTTAATCTCTTGGATCAGTAGGTGTCTCGCCCCTCGAGGGATTTCAAGTACTTTGAGGAAACCTGAAATGAAAACACCACATTTCCCTGAGGTCCAGACACCCTCAGAGGAGACATCTTTTCAACTTGGTCAGGATACATTTTCATTCAACTTTATTGTTCGTCTGAGGAGCACAGGGTTAATTTCTGTGCACAGGGTTCATTTCTGTGCCCTCACTTGCTTCAAATACAATTTTAACTGCTCTTAGTTTTGCCAGCCAGGGTCAACAACAGTCAATTCCAGGAAATGCATCAAAATTAGTTTTTTTCCTTATTTCAGCTGGATGATATTTATTTAATATGAGGTCATGGTATAGTGTTTACGTCACCGTTGGGCGGTGATCCTGCTCATATGGTAATGCTTTGAACAGGACATGATTCTGGCCAGGGCCAAACCCACAAAGCGTCTCAGAGTAGGAGTACTGATCTAGGATCAGTCCATATAATCTTATTCATTATGATCTAAAAGGCGAAACTGATCCTAGATCAGCAGTCCTACTCGGAGAGGCTTTGTTGATTTGGGCCCAGCTCTCCATGTGACCAGTAGAGGGGGCTCTTTAGTTAGATATCCAGTGAAGTTGTGACCACATCATCAGAATAGGACTCAGACCAGGAAAACAACCTCATCTATCTCACTTCCTGCACTGTTTTCATGCACTTTCATGTTCCAGGGTCTGACAACTCAGCTACATATTACCTCATTGGTCTCAGTCTGCCACAGTGGTGTGAGTGTGTGTGTGTGTTTGTGTGTGAGTGTGTGTGTGTGTGTGTGTGTGTGCCTGTGTGTGTGTGTGTGTGTGTACCTTGTTTCTTGGCACTGCGGGTGAAGTTGCCCTTGATGATCTTGCAGCTGGAGTTGTCTCCTCCACAGACACCACATTTATCCTCCTGTTGGGAGGACCCTACCACGCTGTCACAGCCCACTTTCTGCAACACACACAAACACACACACACACACACACACATGCACAGACACACACACAACTAGAGTAAATATGGACACACACATAAACTTCACAAAGTTATTAACACTGACGCACACCTCACACAGTTACACACACATAATTAGGGTTGCAATTTTTTTTGTAACCCTACATATATTTAAAAACAAACACACTGACATATTTATGGGCACACACACTAACCTCACAGGCCCCGCGCACACACACGCTGTAGGGGTCTTTATATGAGCAGCGCGTGCCGTCTTGGACCAGCCTCTGCATGTTGATCTTGTCTCGGGTCTCCTTGGACTGGCAATGGAGGTGGCAGCGCTGCTTAGCTGCACAACACACACACACACACACACGTTACAATACTTTATTTACATCCATAGTTAGTAGAACAGAACCATACAGAAACATTGTCTTAAGACACAGAGCCCTAATTTTGCCAAGCTTCATCTCCTTTTCCCATGTTGTCCTGCAGTTTGAGTGTGTATATAATGTGACTATATCTGACAGTATTACAAAACAGGCTGTAAAGGGATGTGGATATATACTATATAGGTAAATCACAGGGTCAGTCTGCAGAGAAAACACATGTACGTGGAGGGGAGGGGGAGGTTTAAAGGAGTACAAGGCAGGCCCAGCATATATCCCCTACAATAAGGATACAGCTCAGAGTTATTTACCCTTTGTGTAGGCCATGGAGGATCTCTGTCTAGTCTGTATGTGCTTCTGTAACCTCCCGAGCCAGACGTGTGTATACACCGACTATGCAATAGCTATAAAGTCTTGCATGCAAGATTGGTATTTATGTGGATTTGACCGTTCATTGTGTATGTCTACTTGCTGCAAAACAAATTGCCCAAGGATTGACTCAACCTTGAAGCCACAGAATCCCTATATGATTTACATTTTAGTCATTTAGCAGACGCGCTTATCCAGAGCGACTAAGTGCATACATTTTTGTACTGGTCCCCCGTGGGAATCGAACCCACAACCGTGGCATTGCAAGGGCCTTGCTCTACCAACTGAGCCACACGGGAACCGAGCTTAGATGACTCTAACTATGTCTTCGGTATGCAATGTTCAGAATGCACTGTGATTACCTTACTGATATTACAAAGTATTAGAAACACTTGTGAGTTCTCATTGACTCATGGTGATGCTATGCCAATACACAGTCCCTCACTCCCTCACTCCTCCAGCCAGAGTCCACAGAGAGGGGCCTGACGCCACAGATCATCCTAGAGGGAGAGAGAGTTCTCTGGTTGAGAGGGGCCGACTGATCGCCCTGACCAGCTGGACCCTGGATGACCAAAGTAGCTGGAACAATCAACACTTGTAAAACGTGTGTTTTTGAACTGTAGAGCATTGTTAGGAGGATGTTGATGGCTAGAAACACAACATCAACAGTATTTTACAACAGGCGTAATCAATTATTAGATCTGGAGCAAAGTCTAGATTTTCATACAGACTCACTTCTGTTCTCTCACACTATCTCTTTAACACTGGAGATGACAACACACTAATGGAATTCATTCTAACCTCTCTCCTTACCTCTCCCTTTTCCCCCTTCTCTTTCTTCCCCTGTTTCTCTCGCCCGCGCATACTTGAGTAAGTTGAGGTCAAATACAGACCCTGGGAAGGCCTTGCTCAAAAGGATGGCATTTAGAAATGACAATGTGGAGAAAAACTATTTAGCATGGGGACTGGATCCGCAAGCCTCACACACTGCAAATACATACTCACACTTATAGATTACGAAAGGGCGTTTTTGGAGATGAAGAGAAAGAAGGGATGTTATGGGAATCCCATTCTGAGTTCTGATGGTTTAAACACATGCAGTATGGCTATGTTCTGTGAGTCACAACAGCTGACTGGCTGAGGAAAGAGGGAGGGAGGGAGAGAGAGAGAGAGTGAGAGAGAGAGAGAGAGAGAGAGAGAGAGAACCACCGACCGACACCGACCGACCGAGACGCCGAACAACACACTGACTGACACACCGACACATCGACCGAACAACCGGCACACTGACCGACCGACACAGACAGGTTGGAAAAGACCTCAGATTACGTCAGTGTGATTAGGCGGAGTGAGATAGGTCAAAGATAGAAGATAGTGTTTTTTTAAAAGGGGTCTTGGAGACGGGTTGTTGTTTTAGAAAGGTTCAAAGACAAGGGTTCTGTTTTTTAAGATGGGTGCTTTCACACTGGTCAGCAGGAAACCAGCTGTCGGTGACCATAACCCCCCCCCCCCCCCCCCCACACACACACACACACACACAACATCTGCTGACTTATGCCCACTAGTGGCTCCCAACCCACCATTTGGTGAAGTCTGTGTGTAGGATACTTACGTTCGGTGTGTTCATAAGGCAGCCAGTGGTGCTTGTTGTTGTGGAACTCAAACTCGGGGTCCAAGCTACGGCACTGCTCCTCCCTGAAGTCACTGTACAGCTCCTCACACTCCTGGCTGTTACACAGCTGGAACTGGTAGTTAGCACCCAGACAGGTACGACCTCCATTAGCAGGCCTGGGGAGGACAGGGAAATGTAGAAATGTTTCACTTGGTAAATGTGAACAGTGAATATGTTCTGTTCTGTTAGGACAAGTCCTAATGCTTTTTCACCATGATACTATACAAGTGTTACTAGGTAGATTTTTCAATATTTAGGGTAAAAAAATGTTTAAGTACCTGGGGTTGTCGCATTCACGGGTTCTAAACTGCACCCCTCCTCCACAGGTACGAGTGCAGGACCCAAACTGACTCCACATGCCCCACCCACCATCCTGCTTTATCATGTCAATGGTCAGCCAGATACAGTGACCTTTGAAGCAGTGCTGTGATAGGACGATAGAGGGGAAGAAACTGTCAGAAGGTATTACTTTTACCATTAGGGTGGTGCGTGTGTGTGCGGTTGTGTGTGTGTGTGTATGTGTGCATGCGTGCGTGTATGTACCTTCCCATCCCCACACACGGTGCCGTCGATGGGCGGCCCTTTCTTGGTCTTGCAAAAGAAGGGGTTGTCAGGGTGGCTGCACCACAGCTGTTTGCAGGGGTCAAACGTCCGGTACTGCAATGGACAGAGAGAGAAGAATCCTCACACACATATCTTCTCACATTATACACACACAGCCAGTAACTGGGTCTTTACCGGAAACATATAGTGTCACCAGACAAGGCAGGTGACCTGCAACAGGTCACTGTTTCTCATATACAGACACCCAGACACTGGGAGGAGCTAGCGTCACAGAACATTCCAGAAATCACCTCAGACACTGGGAGGAGCTAGCATCACAGAACTTTCCAGAAATCACCTCAGACCTACTACACCAGAGAGAACAGATCAACTGGAGCATTGACTGTACTGCACATGTACAAGAAAATATACAAAACCACAATAACATAAGAGTCCAGACGGTAGTGTACTGTAGTAGTCCGTCACTGTTTCACTGTTACAACAACATGGTTGTTCAGGAAGCCAAAGAGCATGCAGACAAAACCAAAGAGGATGAGGCGAGAGAGACTCTCTGACTGAGAGAACCTGCAGCTCTGTGGGGTCAGAGAGGAGCGCAGGGAGAGCAGAAGATGAGGAGTAAGAGGTCAAATGTCAAAAGGTCAAAATGACCTATAATTGGTGCCCAACAGAGTAGGATAATGTTGTCCTTCTTCAGTTTTATGTTCCATGCCTCTAATGGATTTTGGGTACAATTAACTGAAAGTTCTAATAATTTCTAAATGGAGTCTCTGCCTCTTCTTTCTTTCACCCGTTTCCCTCTGTTCCCCCCTCTGTCCCCCTTTCCACAATAACAAAGCCGACCCAGACTCTCTACCCAGAATGACCTCAGGTGACCCCTCCAGTTGTTGGTCACAACAGGGTCAAAGGTCAACCTGCGGTTGGCACTGATGGCATCAGCCTGGTAGGCTGGCACGCGACACTGCAGGATCCTAAACCTGAACATAGAAAAGCAGCTCTCACTCCAGACCTTTCTTTCTGCCTGGAAAGGACTTCTATTTCTCTTTCTTCCCACCCCTTTTCCAATATCTGTGCCAATATCGCTTTCTGAATGGCCAAATAGTGACACATAGATTTACAGTAATAGGCGCCGTGTGTGTGTCAGTGTTGAGTTCATTTGCTATGGTTGACTTTTTCTGGCTATGGGATCCAGGAAAGCTGTTTGGGAGAAATCCAGATTTTACTTTTCTCTTTTTCTTTTTGGCACTAAATGAAAACCAAAAAAGTATATGTTTAGAATTCTGCAGAACACATGTCAGTCACGATAATGTGACGATGGGCAGAACGAAAGAACGGAAGATAAACAAGTAACGACGACAACCATACCGATAATCAATCAGAAGAAAAGAAAGTGGCCAGATCGCTCCGAGGGGGGGTTTGGGGGAGGGTAGGGGGGTAAACCTTACCTGTGTTCCAGCCTGGCCCACCTTTTGCAGCTAAAGGAATGAATGGTTTGACAAGAGAATAAAGGGTAATCTAGCAATGAGTGCAAAACCCTGCAAAGAGTAGGTCAGCTCAACTCTCATCTCTCTATCACAAAACAGCTCCCGAGATAAAAAGACAAGCTGTCTAAAAAGATAAGATCTTCAGTCAGTGTCAAGATACTTTGCGGGATGGACCTATTCAAGTGGGGACTTACACTGAGTATACCAAACATCAGGAACACCTTCCTAATATTGAGTTACACCCCCCCCCCCCCTTTTTCCCTCAGATCAGCCTCAATTCATCGGAGCATGGATCTGCAAGGTGTCGAAAGATTTCCACAGGGATGCTTGCCTATGTTGACTCCAATGCTTCCCACAGTTGTGTCAAGTTGGCTGGATGTCCTTTGGGTGGTGGACCATTCTTGATACACACTGTAAACTGTTGAGCGTGAAAAACCAAGCAGCATTGCAGATCTTGACACAAACAGATGCACTTGGCACCTACAACCATACCCCGTTCAAAGACACTTAAATATTTTGTCTTGCCCATTCACCCTCTGAATGGCAGACATACACAATCCATGTCTCAATTGTCTCAAGGCTTAAAAATCCTTCTTTAACCTGTCTCCTCCCCTTTATCTACACTGATTGAAGTGAATTTAACAAGTGACATCAATAAGGGATCGCAGCTTTCACCTGGATTCACCTGGTCAGTCTATGTCATGGAAGGAGCAGGTGTTCTTAATGTTTTGTATACTCAGTGTTTATCAGTAGGGACTTCAGTGAGGAGTGAGGACTTGTATTGTATTCCTGTGTGGATATTATCCATGTAACCCTGTTCATCACAGTATCATTGGGGACTGAATTGTGAAGTGGTTCTGAAGTCAAGTGGGTGGCTTTTCAACTACAGGCACCACTACTCTGGGTACTCTGTTAACATATATTAACCTACTACGTATATATTGGTATTAGCAGTAGTTAGTGCATATGTTAGTATACCACTTGTTCCTTTGGGGAGTTCTTACCGCGGTACACATCATGTAGCCCACGCCGAAGTCGAAGCGACACTGTTCGTTCATGGAGTAGTGCAGACCAGGAAGTCTGGGCAGGGACGGCCAGTTATGTTCGTAGGGGTCATCACGAAGACATTCGTAGGATCTGGGGGAGTCAAAAGAGACATTGTGAGCTAACAGTGCTGTCATATTAATTTCAGGTTTTATATTCAGTGAATAAAAACAGAGTGCTGCGATTCTGTTTTTACATTTGTTGTTTGGAACAATCTAATAATTTCAGTTTAGGACCCTTCTTCAGGCTGCATTAGTTTTTATATGGGAGAAATAGTTGTTAATAAAAGCTCTGTATGATGTGAACACTGACAGCCCTATTAAAGTGGAGTTCCGTTTGTTTGTTTGTTTGATGTTGGAGTCATTCAGTTCTGGTGAAAAGGAATTTAAACAAGTTGTAATGTGTGTAAGTGTGTTTATGTGCGTGTGTGTGTGCATGCTTGAGTGCCTGCGTGAGTTTGTGTATGTATACAGTAGGTGTGTGCTAGACTCACTGTAGGTATCGTCCTAGCTCCTGCTGGCTACAGCGTGACCAATGGAAGCGGTGGAAGGCAGCTTGAACCAACGGGGCCATGATGCTCCCCATGTGCACCTCGTCTCCACAGCGATTCCCCTGGCCATCGTGCTCCATACCCAGCCTGGGGGAAGGAGAAAGGGGGAGGGCAGAGGGGAATTCATCAATATGTGGACAGGTATATGTATCTAATTTAATGTTTCATTGTGGATATAAAGTGTGTGTGTGTGTGTGTGTGAAGGGCGGGCGGGTTGAATAAAGAGAAAACGATGCATTAAAACAATTTATAAATCTATAATTATTGTGCAATTTATATCTATAGGCTACATTGAGGTTTTTCTTTCATTATTTTAATCTGGCATTAGTGTGTAAGCCTAAGCTTTAGGACCAAATATACGCCAAATTGTACGCGCACCAAATACACACCAATCGCCAAATGATTTTGGGAATTTGGGCAGAAAAATATTCAGGAAATAAATGAAGAAATTTTTAAGAAAAACATAATTGTTCAAAACATTTTCAAGAGAAAAAAAGGGAACTGTACAATGCATTTTCTATATTTGCGGGTGTGGGTCGGGTACGGGCTTCAGATTTGAACTTTCTTACATATAGTCGGGTGGTTGTGGTAGGGTGCAGTTGAACAAACAGCTGACCCGAAAATCAGTAGTGTGTATGTACTCACACATGTCCTGTCTCGTGGGCTACCACAAAGGCAGAAGAAAAACCATCCTCGTGATTCAGAGTACAGCTCCTCACTGGGTGACACATCCCTGTTACTGGAGCATAACCTGAAGAAGGGATGGAGCGAGAGATGGATGGATGGATGGATGGATGGATGATGGAGAGAGAGAGAGAGAGAGAGAGAGAGAGACATTGCATGAAGCACTGTGGTCACATTTGAACAAGTAGCAAGTCTCTTGTACGGCTCTCTCAGAGTACATACAGTCTCTGTCACGTTCTCTCATTGGTCTGTTCTCTCTATAGGCTAGCAGGTCCGTTTCTGTAGTCTCTCTGTTCTCTCTAGCAGGTCTGTGGCTATAGTATCTCTGTTATCCCTAGCAGGTCTGTGGCTATAGTCTCTCTGTTCTCTCTAGCAGGTCTGTGGCTGTAGTCTCTCTGTTCTCCCTAGCAGGTCTGTGGCTGTAGTCTCTCTCTGTGCTCTCTAGCAGGGCTGTGGCTGTAGTCTCTCCGTGTTGTGTTCTTTCTAGCAGGTCTGTGACTGTAGTCTCTCCGTGTTGTGTTCTTTCTAGCAGGTCTGTGACTGTAGTCTCTCCGCGTTGTGTTCTTTCTAGCAGGTCTGTGACTGTAGTCTCTCCGTGTTGTGTTCTTTCTAGCAGGTCTGTGACTGTAGTCTCTCCGTGTTGTGTTCTTTCTAGCAGGTCTGTGACTGTAGTCTCTCCGTGTTGTGTTCTTTCTAGCAGGTCTGTGACTGTAGTCTCTCCGTGTTGTGTTCTTTCTAGCAGGTCTGTGACTGTAGTCTCTCCGTGTTGTGTTCTTTCTAGCAGGTCTGTGACTGTAGTCTCTCCGTGTTGTGTTCTTTCTAGCAGGTCTGTGACTGTAGTCTCTCCGCGTTGTGTTCTTTCTAGCAGGGCTGTGGCTGTAGTGTATTGATTTTCTCTCTAGCTCAAGGCTCAAGCCAAGGGCAGCTGAAGGGCTGCTGTAGACCACTGCTTTAGAGCTACAGAACTCCCTCGAGACATGCTGCTAGCCTGCTCTCACTCTGACTTCACTAAACACCACTAAACCATACGCAACAACACAACAGAACAAAACCATATGTACGTTTGTGTGTGTGTGTTACCCTGCATGCCGGTAGGCCCGAACTCCTGTCGTGTGAGGAATATAGCGTGGTCGTGGTACTCTGCATCTCCTGTGTCCTGTTTCTGCTGCAGGAAGGCCCAGCGACACACATTCTCCAGACTCTGAGATGGGTTCCCCAACTCTATCAGACTCATAGACTATAGAGAGCGAGAGCGAGAGAGAGACAGAGAGAGAGACAGAGAGAGAGAGACAGAGACAGAGAAGAAAAGGACAGAGGAGAAAATATTGTAGCAGATGTTCAGTCAGAAGTTCATGTGTCTCTTCAATCAGGCTCAGTCAGTGACAAGAGCGGCTCTAAATGTATAATGCTATTCCTGATGTGTCCAGCAGATGTCAGTATTGCAGTAGCAGTCGGCCACAGGGTGGACCCGCAAGGTGCCAAGGTGAGCTAAAATACCTTTGGTGTTATAGGGTACTTACATGCTTGCCTTAGACAAAACGATACGCATTTTAAGATGTACACATATTCTCCTACTGCAAAGTCATTTTTCTTACATCCAATACTGCATTTCCTGATTCTGTGAAATTCACAACAATTTATTTTTTACATATGAACCCAAATATACATACTTACAGAAATATGAATTTCTTATGCAATGGTTACATTTTCCAAAAATAATACATACTCCCACATATAGACCTACATTCTCTCTCTCTCTCCGTCACCTCTCCTGTTCTTTCTCACTGTGTCAGCCACTCCTTTTTCTTCTCTCTCCCCCCCCCCCCCCCCCCCCCCCCCCCCCCCCCCCCCCACCCTCACTTTCTATTTTCACACATACACATTGTACAGTTCAATTCTGCCTCTCTGTCCTGCAGTGAAGACATATGACCGCCTCTCTGGTCAAATTATTGAGTAAGCAATGTACGTGGTGAACTAACATACATCTGTGTATGTGTTTGTGTGTGTGTTTGTGTGTGTGTTTGTATGTGTGTGTTCAGGGTCACTCGGCCAATCTGTAGGCTGGCCATGCACTTCTCTGTTGCCAAGGTAATTGGGGATGATGGACAGCCAGAGCCTTGGCCTGAGCTGCATGCGGATAGAGGCGGGGCCACGAGAGCTGGTCAAGGAGTGTGTGTGTGTGTGTGTGTGTGTGTGTGTGTGTGTGGGTGTACAGTGGCTTGCGGAAGTATTCACCCCCCTTGGCATTTTTCCTATTTTGTTGCCTTACAACCTGGAATTAAAATTGATTTTTGGGGGGTTTGTATAATTAGATTTACACAACATGCCTACCACTTTGAAGATGCAAAATAATTTTTGGGGTGAAACAAACAAGAAATAAGACACAAAAAAAAACAGAAAACTTGAACGTGCATAACTATTCACCCCCCCAAAATCAATACTTAGTAGAACCACCTTTTGCAGCAATTACAGCTGCAAGTCTCTTGGGGTATGTCTCTATAAGCTTGGCACATCTACCCACTGGGATTTTTGCCCATTATTCAAGGCAAAACTGCTCCAGCTCCTTCAAGTTGGATGGGTTCCGCTGGTGTACAGCAATCTTAAGTCATACCACAGATTCTCAATTGGATTGAGGTCTGGGCTTTGACTAGGCCATTCCAAGACATTTAAATATTTCCCCTTAAACCACTCTAGTGTTGCTTTAGCAGTATGCTTAGGGTCATTGTCCTGCTGGAAGGTGAACCTCCGTCCCAGTCTCAAATCTCTGGAAAACTGAAACAAGTTTCCCTCAAGAATTTCCCTGTATTTAGCGCAATCCATCAATCCTTCAATTCTGACCAGTTTCCCAGTCCCTGCCAATGAAAAACATCCCCACAGCATGATGCTGCCACCACCATGCTTCACTGTGGGGATGGTGTTCTCGGGGTGATGAGAGGTGTTGGGTTTGCGCCAGACACAGTGTTTTCCTTGATGGCCAAAAATCTCAATTTCATCTGACCAGAATACCTTCTTCCATATATTTGGGGAGTCTCCCACATGGCTTTTGGCAGACACCAAATGTGTTTGCTTATTTTTTTCTTTAAGCAATGGCTTTTTTCTGGCCACTCTTCCGTAAAGCCCATCTCTGTGGAGTGTACGGCTTAAAGTGGTCATATGGACAGATACTCCAATCTCCGCTGTGGAGCTTTGCAGCTCCTTCAGGGTTATCTTTGGTCTCTTTGTTGCCATTCTGATGAATGCCCTCCTTGCCTGGTCCGTGAGTTTTGGTGGGCGGCCCTCTCTTGGCAGGTTTGTTGTGGTGCCATATTCTTTCCTTTTTAATAATGGATTTAAATGGTGCTCCGTGGGATGTTCAAAGTTTCTGATATTTTTTATAACCCAACCCTGATCTGTACTTCTCCACAACTTTGTCCCTGACCTGTTTGAAGAGCTCCTTGGTCTTCATGGTGCCGCTTGCTTGGTGGTGCCCCTTTCTTAGTGGTGTTGCAGACTCTGGGGCCTTTCAGAACAGGTGTATATATACTGAGATCATGTGACAGATCATGTGACACTTAGATTGCACACAGGTTGACTTTATTTAACTAATTATGTGGCTTCTGAAGGTAATTGGTTGCACCGGATCTTATTTAGGGGCTTCATAGCAAAGGGGTGAATACATATGCACGCACCACTTTTCTGTTATTTATTTATAAAAATAAAAAAAATGTAATTTTTTTCATTTCACTACACCAATTTGGACTATTTTGTGTATGTCCATTACATGAAATCCAAATAAAAATCCATTTAAATTACAGGTTGTAATGCAACAAAATAGGAAAAACGCCAAGGGGAATGAATACTTTTGCAAGGCACTGTATGTCTGTACTCTGAAAACTTCCATTGAGACAGAGAAAGGAGAGTAGAAGGAAAGGTTAAAGTTAGGCATACGGTTAGCAGTGTGGTTTAGGTTAGGTTAGGGTTAGGTTTAAAATTTAAAAAAGATAAATTGTAGAACTTCCGATTTGCAGCTTGGCCAGATAGTGTCAACCGAAGGGAAGGATAGATAGATAGATAGATAGATAGATAGATAGATAGATAGATAGATAGATAGATAGATAGATAGATAGATAGATAGATAGATAGATAGATAGATAGATAGATAGATAGATAGATAGATAGATAGATAGATAGATAGATAGATAGATAGATAGATAGATAGATAGATAGATAGATAGATAGATAGATAGATAGTGCCTTCTGAAAGTATTCAGACCCCTTGACTTTTTCAAAATGTTGTTACGTTACAGCCTTATTCTAAAATGGATGAAATACAAAATACAAAATTAGCAAACATTTCTAAAAACCTGTTTTTGCTTTGTCATTATGGGGTATTGTGTGTAGATTGATGAGGGGGAAAAAACAATTTAATCAATTTTAGAATAAGGCTGTAACCTAACAAAATGTGGAAATAGTCAAGGGGTCTAAATACTTTCCGAAGGCACTGTAAATAGAGTGCTTTCGGAAAGTATTCAGACCCCTTCCCTTTTTCCACATTTTGTTACGTTACAGCCTTATTCTAAAATACCCCATTATGAAAACAGGTTTTTAGATGTTTTTGCAAATGCATAAAAAATAAAAAATTAACTGAAATACCTTATTTACATAAGTATTAAGACCCTTTGCTATGAGACTCAAAATTGAGCTCAGGTGCATCCTGTTTCCAGATGTGTCTACAACTTGATTGGAGTCCACCTGTGGTAAATTCAATTGATTGGACATGATTTGGAAAGGCACACACCTGTCTATATAAGGTCCCACAGTTGACAGTGCATGTCAGAGCAAAAATCAAGCCATTATGTCGAAGGAATTGTCCGTAGAGCTCCAAGAAAGGATTGTGTCGAGGCACAGATCTGGGGAAGTGTACCAAAAAATGTCTGCAGCATTGAAGGTCCCCAATAACACAGTGGCCTCCATCATTCTTAAATTGAAGAAGTTCGGAACTACCAAGACTCTTCCTAGAGCTGGCTTCCCGGCCAAACTGAGCAATCGGGGGAGAAGGGCCTTGGTCAGGGAGTTGACCAAGAACCCGATTGTGACTCTGACAGAGCTTCAGAGTTCCTCTGTGGAGATGGGAGAAACCTTCCAGAAGGACAACCATCTCTGCAGCACTCCACCAATCAGCCCTTTATGGTAGAGTGGCCAGATGGAAGCCACTCCTCAGTAAAAGGCACATGACAGTCCGCTTGGAGTTTGCCAAAAGGCACCTAAAGGACTCTCAGACCATGAGAAACAAGATTCTCTGGTCTGATGAAACCAATATTGAACTCATTGGTCTGAATGCCAAGCGTCACGTCTTGAGGAAACCTGGCACCATCCCTACAGTGAAGCATGGTGGTGGCAGCATCATGCAGTGGGGATGTTTTTCAGCAGCAAGGACTGGGAGACTAGTCAGGATCGAGGGAAAGATGAACGGAGCAAAGTACAGAGAGATCCTTGATGAAAACCTGCTCCAGAGCGCTTAGGACCTCAGACTGAGGCGAAGGTTCACCTTCCAACAGGACAACGACCCTAAGCACACAGCCAAGACAACGCAGAAGTGGCTTCGGGACAAGTCTCTGAATGTCCTTGAGTGGCCCAGCCAGAGCCCAGACTTGAACCCGATCGAACATCTCCAGAGAGACCTGACAATAGCTGTGCAGCGACTCTCACCATCCAACCTGACAGAGCTTGAGAGGATCTGCAGAGAAGAATGGGAGAAACTCACCAAATACAGGTGTGCCAAGCTTGTAGCGTTATATCCAAGAAGACTCGATGATGTAATCACTGCCAAACGTGCTTCAACAAAGTACTGAGTAAAGCGTCTGAATACTTATGTAAATGTGATATTTCAGTTGTAGTTTTTTTTATACATTTGCAACAATTTCAAAAACCTGTTTTTGCTTTGTCATCATGGGGTATTGTGTGTAGATTGATGAGGGGGGAAAAACATTTTAATCCATTTTAGAATAAGGCTGTAACAAAATGTGGAAAAAGTCAAAGGGTCTGAATACTTTCCGAATTCACTGTAGATAGATTGATAGATAGAGTGTGTTAACCCTCGCAAGGCTGCCGGCCCAGATGGCATCCCTAGCCGAGCCCTCAGAGCATGTGGTGTTTTCTGACATTCTTTATCTCTCTCTAGCTCAGGCCACTATCCCGACCTACTTCAACATGTCCACTATCATCCCAGTGCCCAAGAAAGGGAAAGTAACTGAACTGAATGACTACCGACCCATAGCACTCACATCCGTCATTATGAAGCGTTTTGAGAGGCTAGTCAAAGATCAAATCACCTCCTCCCTCCCGACACACTCACCCTGTCAAATTCGCCTACCGCCCTGACAGATCCACTGACGACGCAATCGCCATTGCACTGCAAACTGCCCTCTGCCCTCACCTATCTCGACAAAAGGAATGCACATGTGAGAACGCTGTTCATCGACTACAGCTCGGCCTTCAATACCATAGTGCCCTCTAAGCTCACCACAAAGCTCACAGCCCTGGGTCTAAACTCATCCCTATACAACTGGGTCCTGGACTTCCTGACAGGCCGCCCCCAGCTGGTGAAGGTAGGCAACATTAGCTCCTCGACACTGATTCTCAACACGGGGGCCCCACAATGGTGCGTCCTCAGTGCCCTCCTGTACTCCCTGTATACCCACGACCACGTGGCCTCACACAGTTCCAACTCCATCATCAAGTTTGCTGACGACACGACAGCAGTAGGCCTGATTACCAAAAATGACGAGATGGCCTACAGGGAGGAGGTAGGCACTCTAATGGCGTGGGTCCATGTAAACAACCTCTCCCTCAATGTCAGCAAAACAAAGGAGCTGACTGTGGACTTCAGGAGGAATCAGGCTGGGCAAGCCCCCATCCAAGGGGCCGCTGTGGAGACGGTCAAAAACTTCAAGTTCCTCTGCGTACACATCTCCGAGCAGCTGAAATGGACACCGTGGTGAAAAAGGCACGACAGCGACTCTTCAACCTCAGGATGCTGAAGAAATGCAGTCTGTCCCAGAGGGCCCTCATAGTGTTCTACAGGAGCACCACCGAGAGCTCCACTGCCACGGACCGCAGGGCGCTGCAGAACGCACCATTTGGTGCCCACTGACTGCCCTCCAGGACACCTACAACACCAGGTGTCGCAGGAAGGCCAAGAAGATAATTAGGGACCCCAGCCACCCAAGCCATGGCCTGTTCTCCCTGCTTCCATCACTAAGAAGCGGGCAGTACAGGAGCATCATGGCAAAAACTGGAAGACTGGCCAATAGCTTCTACCCCCCAGACCATCAGGCTGCTGAATTAGTCAGATACCTGCTCCCCCCTCCTGCCCCCCCCGCCCCAATGGACATTTTCCATTGTTACAGTGTTAATATGTATATATTTTATTTATATTGATTTATATTCTTTATTTTACATTTATAGTTTTTATTTCACTTTGGGATGCATTGTTGGAGCTCAGAGCTTAAGATTTCCACTGTACCCTGTAATTACACCTGCAACCCTGTACATGTGACTATTCAACTTCTAATCTAATCTAATCAAGATAGATGGATGATAGAATTACAGAGCAGCATCCGCCAGTCTGTCTGGTTGTTTATGAATGAGGGAAGGCTATCATTGATTGTTTATCTTTGTCTGGACTTCCCATGATTCCGTGCTCCAGCCCACCAGGGAAAAAGCCAGTTGCATAACGGCAGTGTTTCTATGTGCTTTGGTGATGAACTGTGAAGGCGTGTGACTTTGAAAACCCTCCCCTGGGATCCACATGCTTTTAGTTCCTCTTTTGCTCAGTCCACTGGAATAACAGGCTGTAGGCCTCGGTGAGTGCAGAGAGGGTTGTGTGTGTGTGTGTGTGTGTGTGTGTAGGGCTGCAGAAAATGCTCCATAAAATATAACATGGCTGCAGCCTTTCAGGAACAGGTTCATAAAACAGAGGCTCAACTCAATCAAACCTGAAGTAGATTAAAAACATGGATTTTCTTTCCATAGTCAAAACAACCTGTAAAAAGGATATATAGGCTAACACACATTCACAAAAACAGTCTTTTACCTTCCCATAGCCCAGCATGATGATTCGTACTAGCACCACGTTGATCCTGGCTCCCAGAGTGTGGTCATGGTAAATCTCATTCACCTGCACAGACAAAGACACATAGACATTTACTGTAACAACACACAAGGAAGAGCGAGAGAGAGTTGAGGAGAAAAAGAAAGAGGATTTATTCTTAGAACATAGAACGAAAGAAGATAGAGAGCTTCAGGGAGAGGAAAAGGAGAGGAAAAAGACAGGATGAGTGATGGGAAAATAAAGATAGATACAGGGAGGAGAGGAGGTAGAGAAAGAGAGGGAACAGAGGGGTACACTCTTAGAAAAAAAGGTGCTATCTAGAACCTAAAAGGGTTCTTTGGCTGTCCCCATAGGAGAACCCTATGAAGAACCCTTTTTGATTCCAGGTAGAACCGTTTTGGGTTCCATGTAGAACCTTTTCCCAAAATGGTTCTACCTGGAACCAAAAATCGTTTTACCTGGAACCAAAAAGAGTTATCCTATGAGGACAGCCGAATAACCTTTTTGGAATCCATTTTTCTAAGAGTGTAGTTGTTCTTCTCACTTCTCTTTATCACCTTGACATTTTGGGATTTTCTTAAAGAGAGCAGGAACTGGTTGCTAGACAACCCCCCCAAAAAACTCAGGGACATGGTTGCCCCTGTCTGTCTGCCTCTGTCTGTCTGTCTGACCTAGTCCTTCTACTCTTTAATGTTCCACAGCGTTTCCTCATTCCCTGCATTCCAAGAATAACACAGCCAGAGATAATGTGTGGGAGGACAAGGAAAGTGACAGTGTGGGAGTGTGTGTGACTCTCTGTGTCTCCGTGTGATTATGTGTGCATTTGTCTGTGTGAGGGTGTGTACTGTACATGTGTGAGAGGGAGGTCAAGTGAAAGTGTGTTAAGGTATGGTACGTCTGTGTGTGTGTGCACATCTGTGATTGTATGCATGCCTTAATGTACGCTTGTGTGTGTGTGTGTGTGTGTGTGTGTGTGTGTGTGTGTGTGTGTGTGTGTGTGTGTGTGTGTCAGAGCGGCGGCCTGGAAAAGAGGTGACATGGCCCCTCCAGCAGGTCAGATCACACTCTGTCCCTTCCAGCTGGTTGCCGGGGCAACAGCAGCCCAATTAGGGCCAGTTGACTTCCAGGTGACCCTGACACCCCGGGCCCCAATCTAATGAGACATTTACATACACACGCACACATGGACGCACCCACACACTACACCCACACACTGCACACACACACTGCATGAAAAAAGGTGTTTCCGGGTATTTTCTAAGGTGAGTGGTAATTTCTTTGCAGATCGCTGCATGTGTAAGTAAACTTTTCATTGTAATGTATTGTGTACACCAGGGCTCTCCAACACTCGTCCTGGAGAGCTACCGTCCTGTAGGTTTTCGCTCCAACCCTAATCTAGTGCATCTGATTCTAATAATTAGCTGGTTGATAAACTGAATCAGGTTAGTTACAACTGGAGTTTGATTGAAAACTTACAGGAAGTTAGCTCTCCAGGAACAGGTTTGAAGAGCCCTGGTTGTACACCATGTGTATCTAGGGCTGGTCAATATGGCCAAAATACTATATCATATCACTGTATTTTCTCATTTTTGGCGCTATGACGGTATTTGATGTTTCTTAATTATAAAAGTTATAATGATGCTTTATAGGTAGTGAATGGACCTAGGATGGAAACAAATGAATTCTAAGTGGTTTTAATGTGCTTTCTCCATTCTGATTATTTTACTGTTAAACCAAAAATAATAGAAGGACAAAACTGACAGTGAAGTAGTCCTATTTGTAGAACATTGCATAGGAATCAAAATCCTATTTTGTAGCCTTACTCTGTTACTCGACCAATGGTTTCCATTTGCATAGTTATTTATCATTCACACACTGTCATGTAAATATATTTTTTAGTATGCCTCTATAAAAATATTATAATAATAATAATGACTTTCCTTTCAGCATTATTATTCTGGCCTATTTGACTGCAGTTCTTACTTTCGCCACTAGGTAGTCGCCTGATTTTTGGGGGTCTTTACGGCCAAAGTTTTTTTAACTTGTTGATCTTGCAAGCAAACTTCCTCAGTTCTCCGTAGTGAAGCGCATTCTGAGTCTTTTCGGTGAGCCGGCTCATTTGGCTCCGTTCACGTAAAAAGAGCTGGATCATTTGGCTCCCAAATGGCTCTTCATTCAAAATCCTTACAAGTCTACCTAGAACCATAAAAAAATATCACATCTCCAATGTAAAGGCCAAAAAGTAGGCTAGCATTATGTCAGATCGTGAAATGCACATTCAACTACATTTTTACCTGGCCAAATTGTTAGATGGCGATCTCCCCACTATTTATTGTTTCTGCAGTGAGGATTTACCCTCTTTAGATAATTATTTTGTAACTTATTTAGCTCAAAAAGCAGTAGTAGCTTTATGCAAATAAGGGAGCCATGTGAACAGCTCTTTTACCGATGCGATTCGGTTCCCGACGTTCACCAAAAAGATCAGTTCAAAAAGAGCTGTTCGTTCACAAATGACCCATCCCTAGTCCTCTGCTGAAGGCAGTTCTTTCTGGCGATAAAAACGGATGATTTGAAAATATATATATTGAATGTAAAAAATCAAACATTAAAATGCTGCTATAGAAGGTAAAGTAAAAATCAAAACCAGTCCATGAATGAATACCGGTATACTGCCCAGCCAGTGTATTCTGTGCATATGTCCCCTGTAGCACAGTTGGAAGAGCATGGCGCTTGCAACGCCAGGGTTGTGGGTTCGTTTCCTACGGGGGGCCAGTATGAAAAATGTATGCACTCACTAACTGTAAGTCGCTCTGGATAAGAGCGTCTGCTAAATGTAAAAATATGAAAAATAGACTTGACTTGAATTTTGTGATGTGTCTAGCTAGCTACCTAGCTAATGTTAGGCCTACTCATTTGTGTATAATGGTTGACAGTTTTTCCGTCAATGTAAAGAATGCAATTTAACTCATTCGTTTTTTAGATTGTTCTGAATGTATAATGTGAAAATGAGTTTGAATGTTTGGAAAAGTAGAATTGCATAGCCTAACGTTAACGTTACTAGCTCCTTGCAGGGAAGCATATGTGTTTCACCAGTTTGTCCAGTATGGGAAACCATAGTTTGGCATGTGGATGTTTGATAGTAACAACACAGAGTAACGATATCTTTTGTAACCAGCCTAAAGATTGTTTTAGTGTTGACAACGGCAGCTGGGGTAGCAAATCAGCAATAATATTATCCTGCATTTTCCAGCTAGCATTTTCATCACCTAGTATGCATACCATGACGCCTTCCTCACGGCAAGGTTTTGTAGGATTTATATGAGGTGGGAGAGTTGGTATTGTAGGTTTGCAAGAGTTTCAATCCGGTGGGGAAGAGTGATGTACGTTCCCTGCAGTACACATCAGGAAACTTGAGACGCTGTTCATTCCCGGGTACGTTTTTGTGAATTCTCAACCCGATCACGCCGGGTTTACAGACCCCTTCAAGTTGTCCCACTGGCTACCATAAGTTGAATGCACTAATTTGTAAGTCGCTCTGGATAAGAGCGTATGCTAAATGATGTAAATGTAAATGTCTGAACACCAACCTGTTCATTTCCCAATGTTCACGCAGGGTGTGCCCGAAGCCGTGTATGTGTGACATGCCATTAATAACTTCTGAAAAGTGATCTGGAATTTCAACCCAGAAACGTGTCTTATCATATAGTGACACACACAAACACACACACACTCATTGTTCAACACACGATAACCCTGCGGTCCTGCTTTGAGACCCCACACTGAGCGCTCCTTTTAAAAACACACTACTGTCACATTCATGCCTGGACACACACACTCTTAGACACATTGCGAAAGAGTGAAGGGCCAAGCTAGATTTCATTATTGTGGACAATATGGACTGGACAGTGTGTTCATGTGCTTGCCTACGTGCGTGTGTGTGAGCGCGAGCATGTGCACATGTGTGTGAGAGAAACTTTGTGTGTCTCACCTAAAAGTAGCTAATGCAGGACTAGAGGTGGACCAGGCACAAAATCATTATTATCAGATAAAAAATATCACCAGGTCCTGCTCCAACACTTAACACTGTTAGAAGACAGAGGGAGGGAGGAGGGAGGGAGAGAGAGGGAAGAAAGAAAGGGAGAGAAGGGGCAAGAAATTGTTAACTAGGATTGGACCAGCTACGACTTGGTATTGTATCTGTTCTCAGCCTAGCACTAAGTGCGCCCAATCACTAGCTCCAGAGCCTTGTATTAAGACAAAAGAAATGGCTCTGACTAGCTCACTAAGACAGAGCTATGTCCGCTCCAACCCTGGTCCAGCCTTAGGTGACTGAGTGTGTATCTGATAGAGCTGTATTAGTTCAGTGTTAGTTCAGAGTGTGCTCCTTACAGATGTGTTTCATTCTCACCTGACATCCACACTATTATTATCTGTTAACATGCAGGCCTTTAACACATGCATTCATTAGTATCCCCGCGGCCAGGATAGCTTTATCAGCCACACACACTCGCGAGCATGCACCCTCTTGCACGCACACACACACGCGCACACATGCACGCACAGACACACACGGACAGGGAGGGTGAGCTGGTTATTAAAGGTCCAACGCAGCTATTTTTATCTCAATATCAAATAATTCCTGAGTAACAATGAAGTACATTACTGTGATTGTTTTCAATTAAAATAGTCAAAAAGAAACAAAAATAGCTTCTTAGCGAAGAGCAATTTCTCAAGCAAGAATTGTCTGGGAGTGGTTTGAGTGGGGAGGTGAAAAGTGAAAATTAGCTGTTATTGGCAGAGAGGTTTGGATCTCTCTTTATTATTGGCCTATTAACTAACTTACTACATGGTGATGTCACCATGAAGGCCAAAACAGACTGAAATTTCAGGCGGTCTTTCAAACAGGTTTTACACTAATAGGGAATTATCATAATTGTTTACAATTTCACAGTATTATTCCAACCTCATAGTGTGAAAGAAATATACAGTACCAGTCAAAAGTTTGGACAAACCTACTGATTCAAGGGTTTTTCTTTATTTTTACTATTTTCCATATTGTAGAATAATAGTGAAGACATCAAAACTATCAAATAACACATACGAAATCATGCAGTAACCAAAAAAGTGTTAAACAAATAAAAATATATTTGAGATTCTTCAAATAGCCACCCTTTGCCTTGATGACAGCTTTGCACACTCTTGGCATTCTCTCAACTAGCTTCACCTGGAATGCTTTTTCCAAATAGTCTTCCCACATATGCTGAGCACTTGCTAGCTTATTTTCCTTCACTCTGCCGTCCAACTCATCCCAAACCATCTCAATTGGGTTGAGGTCGAGGGATTGTGGAGGGCAGATCATCTGATGCAGCACTCCATCACTCTCCTTCTTGGTCAAATAGCCCTTACACAGCCTGGAGGTGTGCTGGGTCATTGTCCTGTCGAAAAACAAATGATAGTCCCACTAAGCCCAAACCAGATGGGATGGCGTATCGCTACAGAATGCTGTAGTAGCCATGCTGGTTAAGTGTGCCTTGAATTCTAAATAGATCACAGACAGTGTCACCAGCAAAGCACCCCCTCACCATAACACCTCCTCCTCCATGCTTTACGGTGGGATCTACACATGTGGAGATCATCCGTTCACACACACTGCGTCTCACAAAGACACGGCGGTTGGAACCAAAAATCTCCAATTTGGACTCCAGACCAAAGGAAAAATTTCCACCGGTCTAATGTCCATTGCTCGTGTTTCTTGGCCCAAGCAGGTCTCTTCTTATTATTGGTGTCCTTTGGTAGTGGTTTATTTGCAGCAATTCGACCATGAAGGCCAGATTCACACAGTCCCCTCTGAACAGTTGATGTTGAGATGTGTCTGTTACTTGAACTCTGTGAAGCATTTATTTGGGCTGCAATTTCTGAGGCTGGTAACTCTAATGAACTTATCCTCTGCAGCAGAGGTAACTCTTGGTCTTCCATTCCTGTGGCGGTCCTCATGAGAGCCAGTTTCATCATAGCGGTTCACCATAGCACTTGAAGAAACTTTCAAAGTTCTTGACATTTTTCATTTTTACTGACCTTCATGTCTTAAAGTAATGATGGACAGTCGTTTCTCTTTGCTTATTTGAGCTGTTCTTGCCATAATATGGACTTGGTCTTTTACCAAATAGGTTTATCTTCTGTATACCCTCCCTACCTTGTCACAACACAACTGATTGGCTCAAACACATTAAGAAGGAAATAAATTCCACAAATGTACTTGTAAGAAGGCACACCTGTTAATTGAAATGCATTCCAGGTGACTACCTCATGAAGCTGGTTGAGAGAATGCCAAGAGTGTGCAAAGCTGTCATCAAGGCAAAGGGTGGCTATTTGAAGAATGTCAAATTTACATTTTACGTCATTTAGCAGACACTCTCATCCAGAGCGACTTACAGTTAGTGAGTGCATACATTATTATTATTTTTTCATACTGCCCCCCCATGGGAATCAAACCCACAACCCTGGCATTGCAAACACCATGCTCTACCAACTGAGCTACATCCCTGCCAGCCATTCCCTCCCCTACCCTGGGCCAATTGTGCGCCGCCCCTTGGGTCTCCCGGTCACGGCCGGCTACGACAGTGCCTGGATTCGAACAAGGAACTCTAGTGGCACAGCTAGCACTGCGATGCAGTGCCTTAGACCACTGCGCCACTCAGGAGACAAAAGTGTTTAACACTTATTTGGTTACTACTGTTATTTCATAGTTTTGATGTCTTCACTATTATTCTACAATGTAGACAATAGTAAAAATTAAGAAAAACCTTTGAATTAGTAGGTGTGTCTAAACTTTTTCCTGGTAGTGTATATAAAACACAGGAAAATCAAATGTTTGACTGCACTGGGCCTTTAACACGATCCAGCCATCTCTCTCATCACAGTTACGTCTCAGTGTAAAGGTCTCCCATCAGTTAGACAGGGAAAACAAGTGTCCTCTACAATAGCATCAATAAGCAGACACTTCTATGCAGGAGATTACCACAAAATGGATATCACCGAAAGGCTAAATATCTGCATCTTGTGAATAATGGAAATAGCATCCCTCTCCCTCCATCGCTCGCTTGCTTACACTCTCACTCACTCTAGCTCTCTCCTTAGCTGTCTCTCCAGCTCTCTCTCTGGGGCGGGGAGATTGGACAGATTTTAGGGAGGAATATTGTTTGAGACTCAGGCACTAACGCTCCCTGTCCTCCTGCCCTTGACCATGTGTGTGTGTGATTATGTGAGTGTGTGTGTGATTATGTGAGTGTGTGTCCTGGGACTTGTGGACGGAGAAGGAGAAGGGATGGAGGCAGGGCGGGTGTGAGAGAGGGTGGTTCAGGGCTGCCCCATCGATTCCTCCTCTTTTCCCATGGACCACTTAAAGAAGCAGATCAATGGCCTTTTGCATTTCTCTGTCATGTTGTTGTTCTCTATTGTGTATTGTTGTGAATTGTTAGATATTACTGCACTGTTGGAGCTAGGAACACAAGCATTTCGCTACACCCGCAATCACATCTGCTAAATATGTGTATGCGACCAATAAAATGTGATTTGAATTTGATTTGATTTGACACACACACACACACACCGTAACACTCCAGTTGAACCCCACAGACAGGATTAAGTGGTTGCAGTGGGAGCTGTTTCATGTCCAGCAGACAGACCGCCCACCTCCTCTCCTCTCTGAACCCTGGCTGTCTCTGTCTCTGTCTCTCTCTCTCTCTTTCCCTTCCTCTCATTTCTTTCTCTCATTCCTTCCCTCTCAATGTACACCTTGACTTCCTGACCTTTAGTTGACCCCAGATTGACCCCTACAGGAAGAAGAGAGGCAGGAATAAGGGGCGTAGGGGCGGTTCACCTCACATCTAGCAGGGTTCTAGAGCATCCCTGCTAATGTACTGATACCAGAGAGACACACACACACTTGTCTGGCTAGCTGGCTGGCTGGCTGGCTGGCTGGCTGGCTGGCTGGCTGGTTGGCTGGCTGGCTAACTAACTAGCTCGCTAGCTGGCTGGCTCAATATAGCTTTGAGTCACTCTGGTATGCTTGCCTAGTGGGATAAGCTAGTTAGAATAGGGGTGACCGCTTCACATGGCATGGTTTTTTAGATTAATTATATATACCTCTGGAGCAACAGAAGTACTTGGGAGCACCAGAAACGAACAGGACTGGAATTGTGTATCGGGTTGTGGGTATTATCCATTGAAATTTTATAGGATCTCTATGGGCAAGTGCTCACCTTCGATGGCCACTGGCATGAATCCTGGTTTAAACTGTACCAGGCAAATGGCAGACAGCATGCATGGCGCCGTGTGGGAGAGCGGTTTACTGATGTCAACTTTGTGACCAGAGTGCCCCATGGTGGCGCTGGGGTTATGGTATGGGCCGGCATAAGCTACGGACAACGAACACAATTGCATTTTATCGATGGCAATTTGAATGCACAGAGATACCTTGACGAGATCCTGAGGCCCATTGCTAGCTGTGCCACAAGAGATCCTGGTTCGCATCCAGGCTCTGTCGCAGCCGGCTGCGAACGGGAGACTCACGGGCGGCGCACAATTGGCCCAGCGTCGTCCAGGGTAGGGGAGGGAATGGCCAGCATTGATATAGCTCAGTTGATAGAGCATGGCGTTTGCAACGCCAGGGTTGTGGGTTCAATTCCCACGGGGGGCCAGTATGAAAAAAAAATTAAAAAAATATGTATTCACTAAACTGTAAGTCGCTCTGGATAAGAGCGTCTGCTAAATGACTCAAATGTAAATGTAAAAAAAATTATAATGCACGGCCCCATGTCGCAAGGATCTGTAAACAATTCCTGGAAGCTGAAAATGTCCCAGTTCTTCCATGGCCTGCATACTCACCAGACATGTCACCAATTGAGCATGTTTGGGATGCTCTGGATCGACGTGTACGACCGCGTGTTCCAGTTCCCGCCTATATCAAGCAACTTCCCACAGCCATTGAAGAGGAGAGGGACAACATTCCAACTCTATGCGAAGGAGATGTGTCGCGCTGCATGAGGCAAATGGTGGTCACACCAGATACTGACTGGTTTTCTGATCTACGCCGCTACATATCTGTATTCCCAGTCATGTGAAATCCATAGATTAGGGCCTAATTAAGTTATTTCAATTGACTGATTTCCTTATATGAACTGTAACTCAGTAAAATCTTTGAAATTGTTGCAGGTTGCATTTCTATTTTTGTTCAGTGTATTATAGATGACGCCTGTACCATGTTTGACCATAATTGTTTTTAGTGTCTCCAAACTTAATTTGAGTGGTCCACAATGTGGTTGTAAAAAAATCTGTATTTTGAATTATTGTATCATTGTGAAGTGATAATTAAATGACATTTTCTAACTCTAACTCTACTATTGTAAGGCAACCAGCTGCAATAGGATTGTGAGTTTGCTCAGCAAAAATATTGTTGAGCAACCTCACAACGAAAAACGTTTGTGTGAAAACGTTGTTGAGCAAACTCACAATCCTACTGCAGCTGGTTGCCTTACAATCAGGGGTGCAACTTTCACTGGGGACGAGGGGGACATGTCCCCCCCACATTCTGAAATTGCATTTATGTCCCCCCCCCAGTTTTATCATCGGAATGTGATACAAAACGAGGCAACGTGTGCTTTAGGACCATGCCGACGCCTCCGAGTGGTCGGGTAGGCTGTTTGGAGTGTTTATCCCCCCCACTTCTAAAACCAAAGTTTTACAATGCTTTCTTTTTTTTACAGTGTGGTATAGTGTACCCTCAGGCTTCCCTGGTAGAGGAAGAGAACATAGAATACACACAGGTGTGTGAGTTAGCCTCAAGTCACGCGGAGAAAAGTATACAGTGCCTTCAGTAAGTATTCACACCCCTCAACATTTTGTTGAGTTATAAATCTACACAAAATACTCTGTAATGTCAAAGTGGAAGATTATTGTAAATAAATAAAAATAAAAATAAATAGCCATATAACTTGATTAAATAAGTACTCCAGTGTAGATTTGGCCTTGTGTTTTAGGTTATTGTCCTGCTGAAAGGTTAATTCATCTCCCAGTGTCTGTTGGAAAGAAGACCAAGTTTTCCTCTAGGATGTTGCCTGTGCTTAGCTGTATTCCATGTATTTTTTATCCTAAAAACCTCCCTAGTCCTTGCAGATGACAAGCATACAAATAACATAATGCAGCCACCACCATGCTTGAAAATATGAAGAGTGGTACTCAGTGATGTATACTTCAAATAACGCTTTATATTCAGGACAAAATGTAAAGTTATTTGCCACATTTATTGCAGTATTATTGTTTTGGAAAATTGTTATGCTCTACAGGCTTCCGTCTTTTCACTCTGTCAATTAGGTTAGTATTGTGGAGTAACTACAATGTTGTTGATCCTCTGTTTTCTCATATCACAACCATTAAACTCTGTAACTGTTTTAAAATCAGCATTGGCCTCATGGTGAAATTCCTGAGCTGTTTCCTTCCTCTCCGGCAACTGAGTTAGGAAGGACGACTGTATCCTTGTAGTGACTAGGTGTATTGATACACCATCCAAAGCCTAATTAATAACTGCACCATGCCCTAAGGGATATTCAGCATCCGCTTTTCCATTTTTACATATCTACCAATCGGTGCCCTTATTTGCGAGGCATTGAAAAACCTCCCTGATGTTTCGGGTTGAATCTGTGCTTGAAATTCACTACTCGATTGAGGGACCTTACAGATAATTATATGTGTGTGGTACAGAGATGGGGTAGTCATGTTAACCGCTATTATTGAACACAGAATGTGTCCATTCAACTTATGTGATTTGTTAAGGACATTTTTACTTCTGAACTTATTTAGGCTTGCCATAGCAAAGGGGTTGAATACTTATTGATTCAAGACATTTCAGCTTTTCATTTTTGATTCATTTAAAACATTTTCTACAAACAAAATTCCACTTTGACATTATGGGGTATTGTGCGTAGATCAGTGACACAAAATCTCAATTTAGCCCATTTAAAATTCAGGCTGTAACAAAATGTGGAAAAAGTAAAGGGGTGTGAATACTTTCTGAAGGCACTGCACACACACACACACACACACACACACACACACACACACACACACACACAGACACAGACAACATAAGATAAGATAACGCACGCTGCTCTGAGACAGCCTCCATGATCTCACCCTGGCAGCTTTGGACAATGACGAGGAGAGAAAGAAAGCTTATTTTCTGCATGCCTCTGGTATTCCTCTCTGACTGAGCCTGCCCTGGGGTGAACCTAGCAGCTCGTAAAGAAGCAACACATCAATCTGGAGAGAGAACAGGGCCATATCCATAAAGCATCACAGTAGGAGTGCTGATCTAGGATCAGGTCAACCTTTTCCATGTCATTTCATTCAATATGATGTAAAAGACTAAACTGATCCTAGCTCAGCACTCCTAATCTGAGAGGCATTATGAATACAGGCCCAGATACAAGTTTTAGGAGGGGATTAAAGACCTCCCTCTGCTACTGAATCCAGGACTTCCTGACGGGATGCCCCAGGTGGTGAGGGTAGGCAACAACACATCGGTCAAGCTGACCCGCAACACGGGAGCCCCTCAGGGGTGCGTGTTTAGTCCCCTCCTGTACTCTCTGTTCACTCACGACTCCAACACCATCATTACGTTTTGCAAACGGCACGACGGTAGGCCTGATGACCAACAATGATGAGACAGCCTACAGGGAGGAGGTCAGAGACCTGACAGTATTTTGCCAGGACAACAACCTCTCCCTCCACGTCAGCAAGACAAAGGAGCTGATCGTGGACTACAGGAAATGGAGGGCCGAGCACGCCCCCATCCACATCGACGGGACGTGGAGTAGATCAAGAGCTTCAAGTTCCTCCGTGTTCACATCACTAAAGAATTATCATGGTACACACACATCAACACAGTCGTAAAGAGGGCACGACAACACCTCTCCCCCTTCAGGAGGCTGAAAAGATTCAGCATGGGCCCTCAGATCCTCAAAAAGTTAACCAGCTGCACCACTGAGAGCATCTTGACTGGCTGCATCACTGCTTGGTATGGCAACCGCTTAGCTACAGAGGGTAGTGCGTATGGCCCAGTACGTCACTGGGGCCAAGCTCCCTACCATCCAGGACCTCTATACCAGGTGGTGTCAGAGGAAGGCCCTAAAAATTGTCAAAGACTCCAGCTACTCATGTCATAGACTGTTGTCTCTGCTACCGCACGGCAAGCGGTACCGATGCACCAAGTCTGGAACCAACAGCACCCTGAACAGCTTCTACCCCAAGCCATACGACTGCTAAATAGTTAGTCCGGATAGCTATTGGTTAAATATTTAACTATCTGCATTGACCCTTTTTGCACTCTTTTAACTCATCACATATGCTGCTGTTACTGTTTAGTATCTATCCTGTTGCCAAGTCACTTTATCCCTACCTGTATGTACATATCTACCTCAATTACCTCATACCTCTGCACATCAACTAGGTACTAGTACCCCATTAGCGTTACTCATTGTGCATTTATTTCTTATTTTTCTATTATTTCTCTTTTTTTCTCTCTGCATTGTTGGGAAGGGCCCGTAAGTAAGCATTTCAATGTTAGTCTACACCTGTTGTTTACGAAGCATGTGACAAATAACTTTTGATTTGATTGAATGATTTGATGTTTCATTGTATGTCGGAGAACAAGGCTTTGAATTACTGTGCCAGAGAAAAATCTGAGCTCCTCTTTGCTTCACTTCATTTGATGAATAGAGAAACCTCAGAGAGACCTAATTGTAAAAAAGTAAAGCTCCAAGTCCAGAGTACACTT